CCTTGCTTACTCTTTGACAAGGTTAGTTCAGACTATTGCATTATTAAAACCTGCATAAACCCTGAGGAAAAACAAGCAATAGTAGATAGTAGGTCAAATTGTATATTTAATATCTTTTCTCTTTTCAATCATTTTTGTTAGTCTTCTGTTATTACATGCTTACAAATTGCTCTAAATAGATTATTCAGTAATTTTCTACTACAGCGGATCACATTGCTACAAAACTCCTCCATCAGTTTCATTCACTAAAAAAAATAGAAACAGATCTATCTAGAGACATTTAAACATTGAATTGCTTTCATAAAGGGTTATAGATTCTGCAATGATTTGACTTAGAAATATATGATGATGTTGAACAGTGCCGAGATGTGCAACTGTGATGCGGACAGTCTAAATGCTTGATGCACACTTGTTTAAATAAGTATTTTAGTTTTTCCTGATGATGTTGTGTTAGCAATTTTTTCTCTCCAAAATCTGTCTTGTATATCTATAAATCAACCATTCATCCATGCTTAGAATATTGCTACTACATCTGGTCTGATGCTCTTGCTAAATATTTAGGGATTCTTGATAAAATCTAAAGAAGAATCAGTAATATTATTAGTCCTGATCTGGTATCTCGGCTTCAGTCACTTACCCACCACCATAAAGTTGCTTCCCTGTGTCTTTTAGATAAATACTTTCATGGTAATTATTCATGAAGTTCTTCGTTATGGTACCTAGACTTTAGGCACAGTACCAGATTGGCAACAAGGTCTCATCAATCTACAGTTGAATTGGCTAAATGTAAGTTCTCTGCTAACAATTTCTTTTCTCACACTTCTTGCTTGTGGAACTCTCTTCCAGTTCCATGCTTTTCCAGCCAACTTTGATCTTCAAAAATTTAAATGCAGTGCCAATTGTTATCTACTGTCTTCCTGATTAGTCTTTTATTGTTTTTGTTCCTTAGTAATGTTTCTGTTTTCTAATTTTTTCACTCCCAGTAAGTAACCCCTTGTGTTTTAGTGGCTTTACTGCTTTGCTTGGAGTAAATTCAATTTAAAAAAAAAAAATTTGTTATATTTTAGGAAGTGGGTCACACTGAGATTTTTTCAGTATCCCATTATATATTATTTATGTGCATACGTATTTCTGAAAAGTGTTTTTATATACTTGTGTATGGGGGATTATGTTTGTGTGTTTGGGTGGGTATTTTAGAAATGTTGTTTTACTATTTCAGATTTTATTATGAAAATCAGTGTTTTCACCTTAAGTAATAATGAATTCTCTACTCAGTTAGAAGTATGCTTGTCTGCTAGGGTTGCTTGTTCATCACTATTGTAGACTCCTGCTCAGGCACATTTGTTATCTACTGTCTTCTTGATCACTCTTCTGTTGTTCTCACTCCTTATTAATGTTTCTGTTTTTTCAATCTTTCTCACTGGGTAACCCTTTGTGTCTTAGTGGCTTTACTGCTTTCCTTGGCATGAATTTGATTAAAAAAAAATAGTTAGTGAAAAACATTGCCTTCCCTAACTTGTCACTGCCGTCCAGTAAAACTTGATCAATATTTGCATGTTTTACATTCAGCCTCTCACATGCGCACAGCACAAAATAATCTGCAGAAATGTTCATGGCAGATTTTATTTGGTTGGCTGCAGTTCACTCAAGGAGAAATTGCTGTGATGATCCTACTCCTATAAATTTTTTTTTCAATATCCAGCCCAGATCAATTGCATTTCTACTATCCATTCCTATTGCTATCACTGACATTCACAAGCCACTAATTCTGTCCAAAAATCCACAGTCATAATGACAGTCCAACTGGGACCATTTCATCGATTCTTTTTCTCATAAGTCTTGTAGTAAACATTTTGGTAGACGAGAAGTAAAAACTTGAGATTCCATTCAAAGTTTGAGGATGAAAATGAAAATGGTTTGCTTGTATGTCAACTGGCAATATTATTTCTTATTGTGTTGACCCTGATTTTCTAGATTTTTGCAAGTCACCAAACTTATAATTGCTTTGTCACTTTGTAAATCAAAGTAAACCTGAAACTGACAAGTTAACATGTGCAACTACCCCTTGTCTCATGATAGCTGCTACGTTTGTATAGTTCTCTTGTAATTATTTGTAATACTCATTAATAAATATTACTACCTTTATTCCATAATTTTAATTAAATTTTCATGCTTTCTTTTGATTATCAGTAACACTTATTAAAGGCTATGTTTATGTAGTGTCCAGCTCATCCAGATATCTGTAAACTATCCTCTGTATACAACTGTTTTCTCAGCTCAACAGCTAAAAATTGCTTCAAGTGAGTGAATCCTTGAGGTCTCAAGAAAAACCATCCTTTATCAGAGTTCCTTATTTTAGATGGTAATGCTCTTTTAGTTGTTTCCCTACAAAGAATATTTGCTGACTTTATTTCCATATCCAAAAGATAAACAAATTAATTTCAAGATGTTAATGGATTTTATTTATAATAAAAGCTTATTTCTTATTACTATAAATATTGTATTTTGTGGCTATATATGTTTCAGTAGGTATCTATATGTTGAAGAGTTTTTGTCATTTGTAAATTTGCATGTTTAGTATCATTACAGATTATTTTATATGATGTATTAAAATTTTAAACTATTTCTAAAGATGCTATTAAGAAAATCAGTTATTTTGAACAATATGACTATGTTATAGTTACTGTCAATACTGTTGATAGAACTTTGGTCAATATCACTTTAGTTAGTACAATATGTTCTTGGGCAAACATTTTCTGCTGAAATGAAGTGGAAAGATTATACTGAATCAATTGCTAGGTCTGCTGCTAGGAAAGTTGGTTCACTGTGTCATGCCAGACCATTTTTCTCAATAGAATTTGGCTTATACATTTATAAGTCTACCATTTCTCCTGACTTTGAATATTACTCTCACATCTGGTCTGGTGCTTCTCTATGTATTTAGAGATTTTTGATAAAATCCAAAATATAATCTACAATTTTATCAGTCCAGCTGTTATCTTGGCTTCAGTCACTTTCCAACCACACAAATGTAGGTTCCCTGTACATAAATGTTTTTATGGTAATTGTTTAAATGTGCTTTCATCTTTGGTAACTTGATTTACAGATTTAAGCACAGTACTAGATTAGTAGCTAGGTCTCATCATTTTACGGTTGATACAACTAGATGTAACCATAATTCCTGTACTAACAGTTTCTTCATTCCCACTTCTTATTTGTGGAACACTCTTCCAGCCTCTTGCTTTCCAATCAACTTTAATCTTCAAAAATTTAAATGCAATGTCAATCATTATCTTCTGTACATTTATTGTTCTCTCTCCTTAATAATGTTTTTCTTTTTCTCATATTCTTTTGTATTTAGTAACTCCTTGTGTCTTAGTGGCTTTGCTGCCTTACTTGGGATAAAATGATTAAAAAAAGAAACAAAAATAAAGAACCCTGTACATGTTGATATCTTGAAAATTATGTCATGCTGGACAATTTATCTCACCAGAATCTATCTTACACATTTATAAGTCCACCATTCATCCATACACTGAATATTGTGGCTACATCTGGTGCTATTACGTCTGCTATATATTTAGAGATTCTTTATATAATAAAAAGCAGAATCTGAAATGTTATTGGTCCTGACCTGGCATCTCAACTTTAGTCACTTTCCCACTGCTGTAATGTAGCTTCTCTGTGATTTTTTTTTTATAAATATTTTCATGGTAATTGTTCTGATGGACCTTCCTCTTTGGTAAATAGACTTTATGAATTGAAGCACAGTACTAGATTGGCAGATAAGTCTCATCATTTTACAGTTGAAATTGTAGATGTAACTGAAAGTTCTATGCTAACAGTTTCTTCTCTTGCAGCTTCTTGCTTTCTAGCCAATTTTGATTTTCAAAAATTTAAATGCAATGTCAATTGTCATCTCTCTTCATTTCTGTCTTGTTATTATTCTCTTTCCATTCTCATATCCTCTCACATTCAGAAACATCTTGCATCTTAGTAGCTTTAGTGCCTTGCTTGGTGTGAAATGATTAAAAAAAAAGAATTAAATAAATTGGAATTCCTATTCAAAAATTCTTGGTGACTGTTATCTTTCAAGGAAGATGTTATTTTGTACTTTGTTGCATTAACTTTATCAACATAGTCATTGGCACACTACAAACATGTTTATTATTTTTGTTAATAACTTACTTGGTAGTTAAGAATATTTGTTTATTCATGATTTTCTTATTACCAACAATGTGTGGTAGCAAGGCTGTATGAACAAGCTTTTAAATTGACATTGTTCAACAAAGTAAATAGCATTGATTTTTCTTTTTCAATTAACAATAAGTTAGTTAAGTTACTTAACAATTGGAATACATTAACTCCTTCTTAAAGACTGACACTGATATACAAAAAAAAAAAACGAAAACAAAAATGCAGTTTGTAAAGAAAGAAAAGATATCTTTGGTTGGTAATCTTGCTGCTTGTCAGGTCGATTGACATTGTATCGAAATTCTTGAAGATCAAAGTTGACTGGAAAGCAAGAAGCTGGAACATAACAAACCCAAGAAATATTTGTTCTTCCTTTTTCCACTCTTACTTTGCTTCATACCTGATGTTTTGGCTGATCCACAAATCTTATAGGTTGTTAGAAAAAAACAAGCATAGCAATCTATGACTCAAAACAAACTTGCTTAAATCTCTATTAAATTTGGGTAAGTGCATAAAATGCATAATTTAAAAAATGATTGATAGATTTGTATTCTACAAATCAACCTTTTGCAGGTTATTTAAAGCCAGGTAATGTTTTAGAGTGTAAGAATTTTTTTGAGATAATAATGTTTTAGTGATGCAAGTCTTACTAATTAACCTATAGCTGGAGGAGAAGAGGTGGATTCATACCTTTTCCAGGGGTATTTGCATGTAGGTGATATAACAAACCTGACTGGAATTCAAAACTCAGCTCTCCGATTAACAAATCTGAGCCATTATCCATTACACCACCCACACATCCAAACTTACAGCACCTGGTATTTCCAAGTGGTCACTCATCTAGGTACTGACCAGGCTCGACATTGCTTAACTTCGATGATCATACAGGAACCAATGTTTCAATGTGATGTGACCGTAAGCTTTAATTAAAAAAGAATATTCTCACAATCATATCATATCTTCTTTTATTATATGCCATATCCCTTCAGGTTGTGGACAGTCATGGCTCTCCACAATTTCCTATTCTTTGTAGCTTTCAGCAAGGTTTCACTTTTCACTATTGGTCCCAAACTATGTTCTGCCATACATTTAATCATGCTTGTAAGATAGAGTACTTAATGCTTTCTTCTATCCCTTCGTAACCATGTCATTTCTCATATTCCAGAACCTTTTTTTAGGTTTTTTTTAGGGCAGTTTGTTTTATATATATATATATATATATATATAAACTGTTTACAAATAAATTAAAATTACTAATTGAATTTTAATTTATTTGTAACAAAGTTATTTCTGAAGAAAGATTGAAGCCAATCTGAAATATCAAATATATATATAAATAAATAAATACTTTCATAAAAAAACATTATTATTTTTTTAATTTGCAACTTTTTCTATATATACATATTAAGAAAGTATACATGGCTTCTTATTGCTATATATACGTGTATATATATATATATATATATATATATATATATATATATATATATAGTGTGATATTTGTGATAATGTATACCTGTAACAAACAAAAATCAGAATAATATTCATTGGAAAATTTTTAGGTGAAAAATATTTTGATTTTAAAAATCTAATTGAAATCAACAAATTATTGAAATTTGAAATTTTGGGTAATTATTTAGGTTAACATTTATTTAATTCAGGGAGATTTTCTTAAAAAGAGAAATTTTCATTCCAAATTTTGCAGAAAAAAAAAAAGAAAAAAGAAAATTAAATTGTACACACAACATAACCAGTAAACAAATGAGACACAAGGCAAGCATTGCTCAAATGACAAGAAAGATTGTCAGACAGTGAAATGTCTCAGAAAGAATTCATTCACATGGATTTCACAGAGCGCTTGGCATATTAGAAATTCCAATTTAACTTAGGGAAACTTTTCTAGAATTTTGAAAAAGTATTTATCATCAAAAATATTAAAATATTCCTTGTCCTTTGTTAAAAAATATTAATATAGTTTTGATCTCTGGTTGATTAAATCTGTGGATGCAAAAGGTCAAGAATAATTAAGAAATTCGTAACTTTGGGTATATTTTGTGCTGTGGTTTTTCAATCCTGTGTAAAGCTTTCACCCAATCTTGTTGTGATGAAATCTGACATTTTAAAGACAAAAATTGGGTCTTAAAACACAAAAATATCTGTTTTTCTTGATTTGTTCTTTTGTTAGCAGTGTAGCTTTTCCTGGCATATTGTGTAGATACTTTCCTTATTAGATAGCGTCTTCCTCCTTTTCATCGTAACCTGATTATTGAGAGAGAGATGAAAACGAACGAATGAATTTAAATGTTGAATATTTAATTTTCTACTTCCTCATGGCTGTTGTTGGGAAGCTTGCTTAGAAGAAGGCAGCCAGTGTGACCCTATTAAATAGACTCTTAGGTAAAATAAAGAGTAAAGAAGGTTACCTGAAAAGGTAAGGGGCGTAAGTAAGTTTGAATAATAAGAGAGAGTGATGAAGACAAAGAGAGGGATGACAGAAACTAGTGACCATTAAAGTTTGACTTTAGATGAAATTTGAAATAAGAAAGAAAACAAATCTGTTAAGAAGTCGAAGAAGTTAACAACATAAAATGGGAAAAGGTCAAGGTAATGGGGATGGTATGAAGAAAGCCACCACCCCCAAGTATCTGTTTTCTTCTCTAGACAAGTTATTTAGAGTTACTTAGAACAATGAAAAAAATTAAAGATTCTATCCTCAACAGTACAAATAACTAAATCAATACTGAACGTGTTTATTGTATTGACTACCAAATTAAATCACACATTTGAATGCTGGGAGTCATAAAAATATACACTGTACCCATGATACAGGTATTTAAAGGCTTTACAAACTGGGTATTTTAATTCACTTTCAGTCAAGACCCATTGATACCTAAACTTCATTGTAAACTTATGTAGTATTTCTGTCAACTTCTGGTATTCTGAGGAGTTATTTATTATATTTTTAGATATAGACAGCAGAATCAGAATAATCTACCCTGTTGATTGTGTAAAGGATTTTCTGAAGGTTACCCAGATTGACAGACAAGTGAAGAAGGCTGCATGGAATGTTGTACCCATAACTGATTTAAGAGACAAATATCTACTTCACTATATATATATATATAATATATAAATATATATATTTATTGAATATCTAAATCAATGGATATCCGCTTCAGTATTGAATATATCCACTTCACTTCAATGGATATCCTGTTAAATGGATATCCACTTCAGTACTCGTTCAATGGATATCCACTTCAGTACTCGTTCAATGGATATCCGCTTCAGTACTCGTTCAATGGATATCCTTCTTCAGGATATCCGCTCCAATGGATATCCTTCAGTACTGTCAATGGATATCCAATGGATATCCACTTCAGTACTTCAATGGATATGTGTTCAATGGATATCCGCTTCAGTATGTGTTCAATGAATATCCGCTTCAGTACTCATTCAATGAATATCCGCTTCAGTACTCATTCAATGAATATCTGCTTCAGTATGTGTTCAATGAATATCCGCTTCAGTAATGGATATCCGTTCAATGAATGGATCTAGTACTTCTGGATATGCATACAAATGGATATGTTTGTGTTCAATGAATATCCGCTCACACATTCAATGAATATCCACTTTGTTCAATGAATATCCGTGTTCAATGAATATTTCTTTGCTTATGTTTGTTTCAGTACATTCAGTGAATATTCAATGAAATTCCCTTCAGTAGATATACAAGAAAATATGTTTTAGTACACATATAGTGAAGATTCACTTCTAATTGTATCCAAAAAATATCTGCTTCACCATATACAATAAAAATAGCAAATCAAAGAAATTTTCCTCTCACTTATTGATTTAAAAAGACTGTGCATTTTTTTGAATTGAAATCCTTATTGCTTTCTTAGAGCACAACAATACACTAGGTTGTATGTCCTTTTGTCAGTGTTTCTCAAAATTTGATTTCCAAAAGGCAACTGGTTTTGCTTCTATATTCTCTGCCACAACCACAATATTGTACACACAATGTTATCAGCTCTAGCAAATGTCTTTTCTTCATATGATTTATCTTTTGAATCTTGCTCTGATGTTGTATGGACTACAAATAATCTGAATCATTTTTTTTTCTCCATTCCTCTTCTGTAAGGTAGAATGGCAGTAGTGGTTGTAACATAGTCACAATATTATGTATGTTAAGTCTGTGGCATAAACAGGTGTTTAGTGACTATGGTCATTGTTCTATTGTGGTCTGAATTGGTCTTGTTGCTACATTCATCTCCACAGATGTCTTCCGACTTACACACCTAAGTCACACTGTCTTTGTCACTGGCAGAAAATCAAATCAGTTGTCTTTTTCAACAGGAGAAAGCTTTTTTGGTATTAAATAGCACAACATATATGGTCTGTTTTGCTACTTTTATTGTCTTCAGTAGAGAAGTTTTGCTGACTAAGTAGTGACAGAGAAATGAAGTGTATAAGAGAAATTATCAATCCCAATACTAGCACTGCAGACTCAAGACAAAAATTATAACTGAAGAATTTTGGAGGGAGAAACTCATTTTTTATCAGGAAATTTTGCTTATTGCTGATTCGTCAATTAATGCGTCAATGAAAAAGTACTGCCACATCCTTTCTCTTTTTTTATTTTTTGACAGATTTGTGTCATTTGATCCTAGCAAATATGTCATATTTCAGAAATATGATGTATTTCCAATATGTTCTGTGGCTATTTTTTAGTTAGATTCCTCCTTACTCCTTAACTTAGTCACTTTTTATTTTACACACATGATATTACATGGCATGTTTTTGACTATCTATTCTTAAGCCTGTCATTTTTTGTTGCTACATGTTTGGGTTGCCACATGTTTGGGTTGCCACATAAGAGCAAAATATGTCTCTGTATGAACAACATATCATCATGAATTTTGTGTAGATACATTTAATGTTTTCCAGTCTATAAAATACATAATCTTTCCCCAAAGAAGGGAATATATTCAACTATTAGCACACTTGTCTTATGTATAAGACACTGTCCATATACTAATGGCTTCAATTGTACAGTATACAATCAGTATACATTATAATGAGTAAAAAATCCTTGCAATAATACCAACTTCAGTATATACATATAAAATCTATTTGAACATTATTTTTAAGATTATATTTAATAATCCAATTTATATATGTGTTTCTAACACTACTTTGTAGTGGTGTAATTAACATACTGGTGAATAAGGTAATTTCCATAGCAACTGGGTCATTGGCTTTAGAAAAAAAAATCAAGTATAAATCAACAAAGTTATATATGTATTGTTTTTAAACTACAAGTTTCCCATGATTTCTCTCGAATGATCATATCTACTTGAAGCATATTTTAATCTAAACAAATTCCATCATATATTATAATAGTATTCACAGAGCATTTACTTAAATATTTGTATCGATAAAAATAACATATAAACAGAAAATATATTAAAATAATTGTTGCACTTAGTCTATTTAATAATGTATGATGTTATTTGTTTATGTTAAGATATGCTTTGAGCAGATATGAGCACTCGAGAGAAATCATGGGAAATTTGTAGTTTAAAAACAGTAATTTGACTTTGCTAACCGGATCTTCCTCTTCTAAATGGTATAGCATGTCAGGATATATATATATATATATATATATATATATATATTTTTTTTTTTTTTTTTTTTCTCCGGATGTCCTTTTTTAAGTGTTGATGTTGGGAGCAGTTTTTTGTTCTCTCTAGATAATCTGAGCATTGAGCAGTTTACTGAGTAGGTAGGTTTTGGGTCATTCTTTCTTTTTTCTTTCTTGGTTTGGTAGAACAATTGAAGAGGAATCAGGAAGACAGTAGATAATAATTGACATTGCATTTAAATTTTTGAAGATCAAAGTTGACGGGAAAG